TGGTCGCAGAAATTCTCCTGCTTGTGTGGCATGGTGCAGAGTCCTGTTGCTAGACTTAAGGTCTTGCAGCACTACCAACTCAAGGCACTTGATGTAGGCCTTTGTGTTGAGTCTTAGGTCCTCACCAACAAATTTGGAAGTTCTTTTCTTATCCAAATGATTAGTGAGTTTTCTGAGCTACTGTACCTTCGCAATCACCATTAGACTCATCCAACTCTTTCTGAATCCTCTGCGCTGTCCTCGGATTGACACCCAAAAACACTCTGAAATGTTTATGCTGGAGCTACCGGCACAAATGCCAAACAGTAAATTTCCAAATATCTGGTAGCAGGGATGGTGCCATGATGCTCTTTTTCTCATTGATGGTGCCCAACTGAGCCTACTATACTGTGCAATCAACAAAACCAAAACAATGTACGTGTCCAAATTTAAAAATATAAAATGGAGACAATTTACCCATTGTGCTCTGTATTTAGTTTTCCAAGTAAACACACAATTCCTCCCAATATTTAAATTTCAAATGTTGGCCATGTAGCTGATATGATTTTAGATTTTGTAGTCAGTTACAAGACAGAAAAAACTATTTATTGTGTTATCAAAGGTCTTTTTTTTTTTTCTTTGGAAAATTAAAAATATTTTAGGGTGTGTAGAAATTAAAAAATCATCTGTCTTCCTCTTAAAAAAGTAGCAACAAAAACAATTTATGTGTCTTGAAAGCCATTCAGATGATAAAGAATTTTGCATTTATTAACTATGAAGTGTTATACATTTTCTGTTCCTTTTACATATTGCTTATTTTTGTCATGTCAACAAGAGGATGGAAAAGGTGAATCTCTTTGTACATATGGGTACTAGTTAGGATTAAATAGAGACTTTGAGGTATTATGATGGCTGTAGTAAGAATGGTAAGTAAGAATTTGCTGTTTTTGGTGTAAGGAATACTGTGGTATGTTTATGTCAGTAATCATGGCTAGCTAAATTTAAGATAAGACAGACTGAAGACCAACCTTCCCCTATTCTCCCTTATGTCACATTTTTCTATAATAATAAAATAAGTAATGTAATATTAGATTGGCAGCTAGGTCTTATCATTTTACTGTTGAAATTGCTAAATATAACCATAAGTTCTCTAACATTTTCTTCTGCAGCGTCCTGGGTATGACGATAAACTACATCCGCATCCTCGGTATGACGATAAACTATGTCCAACAGCAAAGCCTCTGATAATACGTTTTTGAAAAAAATAATGTGCCAGCTGTACGTTTTTGAAGAAAAATAATATATAAGAATGGTGTTGCCGACTATACGTTTTTGAAAAATTATAACCAGCTATATATTTTTGAGGAAAAATTATTGACAAAACAAAAATAATACCAGGAAAAAAAAAAAGTTGTTGGCATTAAATGACCCATTGAGGTTGATATGCCATAAAACAAATCAAACCAAACCAATCTTCTCTTGGACTTCTGAATTGTGGAATTTTCTTCTAGCTTCTCCCTTTCCTGCCATTTACAATCTTCAAAAATCTAAATGCAATATTAATCATCATCTCTCTCCTTGAATCCTGTTTTCTTTTCCCAGTAATGTTTTCTCAGTTTCCTTCACTCTCACTAACCGCTTGTGTCTCAATGACTTTATTGCCTTGCTTGGAGTGAAGTGATAAAAAAAAGTTATCTATGCCAGAAACCAGTCATACTATTTTCATCAGTCAAGATGGATAAATAAATATTTTGCATTTATCAGTCATGTGTAAATGTTTTCAAATTTGTTTGCATATGACATTTGGAATATCATAAAAAAAAAAAAAAGGAAAAAAAACCTTATCAGGTTTTCCTGGATTGATTGTATCTGCATGCAAGTCTGATACACTCAAGAGTACTATGTATCAGCATCTATTACCAAACCTAACAGCTTGATATCACTCTTCACTTACAATCATGTAGAATATTTGGAACTAGACTGCCTGACAGATAATCAATTCTTTTGTGAATAGAATACAGCTTTTGGCTGTCTGCATTAGCTTTCTCCTCTCCAAGTATTTTGGCCTTAATGACACCTGCTGTAAAGACATCAGGGAAAACAGTAATCACACATCAGTATACATGGGCACACTTTTCTTTTCATGTCCAAAATATCAGTAGGGACTTTATGGAGAAATTACAATACTTTCTGCTTCAAAATATAACCAGAAGCAAAATCTTCCATTCATTCTTTTATATCTGCATAATTTACTGATTTATTTTGAACTGTACATATTACAGGAGGAAAATTGAGAAGGTAGTTTATATATTTTCTTTTATATTTTACTGCTTGTTGTCTCTTACCCATAATTCAATGTTTCTCCTTTCCAAGCATATGTATAAAAGGAAGAAGCTACTACTTAGAATTAATAAAATTATTCTCTATATTTTCTTCTATTCAAGTGATTTGTTCAGCCTCATGGATTTCTATATTAATGTGGGATACATGATACAATTGATTCCTAGCTAATTTTAAGATGTTGCTTATATTGTTTCATGGTCAGAACAAAATGAGAAGCCAATAGTTATTACATCTCTTAATTTAGCAAATTGTATTTTGGACACTTAATATGCTATATTATTTAGTGATAATGTATTACAAACAGTCAAAACAAAATTAATGAAGATTGCATTGTAACCATGAATCGTCATAGGTTAGGGCTATCATGATCTGGGTATATATATATCCTTCAGCCTGCACTTCTTAAAGGATACCACTTGTCTTCCATATGTTTCAGACCTGTCAGCTCCCAGTTTTGAGCTCTTTCATCCCAGTGTCTTAGTTTATAAGTTGTGTTCTCCTGATTTACTGTTAAGTGTTGGTCTTATGTTGAGTCGGTTAGTTTTTACAAGATTCTCTCTGTAAACAAATTGTTGCTGCCTAATGAAAATACTTCCTATTCAGTCTTTATGTATTTTTAAAACCATTTTACCATTAATGTAGAAATAACATGTTTCAGTAATGGCTTTACTGAATTGGTGTTTGTTTACAAATCAAAAATTGGCCTGGTACAAGGGATGAAAGATTCCAGATCCAGAGCCTATTCACTCCTTGGGGGAAGACTCTTCCTTCAGGAGTGTAGTGGGTTGGTGAGGCTATTTAATCCCTAGTTTTAGGTTTTGAATTCAGAGTTATCCTTATCCTAGATTTGTTGCCACTCAAGGCTAAAGGATTCAGTTTGTCTTGCTGTTTACCCATAGCTAGGGGGAGAAGAGATGGATTCATGCTTTTCCAAAGGATATTTTCGCATAAGTGAATATAATGAACTTGGAATTCAAACTTGGCTCCCTGATTCCTCAATAAGAGCACCTGTCCATTATTCCACTGTGCCTCCACATTAGCCTGAAATGGGTTAAATGGTTCAAAATTTTTCACTATCTGATTTACCTAATCAATGTTTATTTACAAGTAAAACATTGGCTTGAAATAGGTTAAATGGTTCAAAATCATCCCTCTCATGGAAATAACTGCTGCAAATTTGAAGAATGATATTTTTGAGATAATATTTTTCAGGCTGATTTTTAAATCTTTCTGTCCATTCCCCAGCCCCATTTTTGGTAAAATTGCCCTACTTTTTTAAAGTTAGACATTTAAATCTCCAGGTTTTAAGATTTTTAGTTTAACTGGTTTGATATATATATATATATATATATATATATATATATATATATATATATATATAATATATATCATTAAAATACTCAGAAATTTAATATTAATTCATCATTTTTCTTTAGACAGGCACAAAAATTTGCTTGCAATTGTGACAATGATTTATTTTTGATAAGCCTCTCTTAGATCAACAAGGTCACCAATGTGAAGGACCTATTCTCTCTGACTGCATTAAAAGTTAATCAATTTACCCTTAAAAGTCAAATGCCAAAGATAAAACCCAACTATCTAATTCATCAGTCAAATGTGAAGATAAAATATTTACAAAACTATATGCTGTGCTCACATTAGCTCTGTCAGTTTTAATAAAATTTAGCTAAAATGTCCTTCAGATGGTATCAAGTTGATCCACTCTAAGAAAATTATTTTTTATATATATTTTTGAATACTTTTTTCTCACTTTTATCAAAGTTTGGGAAATGAGACTTCCCTTGATTCTGGTAAAAGAATAGATAAATTTATGTGAAAATGAGAATTATCAAATAATTTTGAAAATGCTAAATACAAAAAGTTTACAATTGTAGGAAATTTTTTCATCCAGGTTTTTATATTAAAATCCAAATGTCTGAATTCTAAACAATAATAAAGTAAAAATAAAGAAAACTGGGTATACTGGTTAAATAAATCCTTTGCATTTATAAAAACATGTACATGAATACAAGAGTCAAAAAGAAGTAAAAATAGACATTAATTGAATTAAAATTTTCATGTAGTTGGTTCACAGAAAAAGTTACAGTTTACAAAATAAACTTTGAACATCAGCAAAGTTTCACTGTCTGTCCAAGTTGTTGTTAGAGAATATTCATTTGAAGTCACTGATACATGTTTTGTTCAGCATATGCTGGGGGATAAGAAAAAAGATATATAGCCACATCTTGTTTGAATGGCTCAAAGACAGTCACATTTCTGCTGCTGAAAAAATCTGTAGGTTTTTATGAGAAATCTTTTCCTGAAAGTAGACTCAAGAAAAATAGGATTTTAGTTTTCTCTGATTGGTCAAATATTTCACATGGTGATGTTAATTTTTAACCAATAGATACTTTGATTCAAGCAGTGTGTCTTGTGGAATCTTTTTGGCATATTTGTAAATATTGTCTGTGATTGAGTAGAAAATAAGGTCTGGGCATGTTTTAATATGGTTTGTATGTAATTGTGTTGAAAATAGGGTTTATTTCTTATATAATCATTTGGAATTTTTATTCTTTTGTTTTTCTGTGTATAAATTGTTTTGCTGCTCTATTTTTGATGATTCATCTTGTCAAGTAACACAAATTCAAAAACAAATCATTTTTATTTTCTTTTGATAGTATGAAGAAGTCTACCAAGAAGCCAAAACTGCAAGAGCCTACCGAGATGAGAGTGATATGCTCAGAGAAAAGGTAAGTCCTTTTACCTTTCTTGGTTCCAATTACTGGAAATGACTGCAAAAACTGCCCCTTCCCCCACTTTATAGACAAAACACACAGATGCATGCTGGAATTTCTTCCCAGCCAATAAGTTAGTCCACTTCTCAGTCTTATTCATCTTAATTCTGTTCTTTCTTGTCTTGAAGCCAGAACAGATTGTCTGTGTTAACAGCATTTCTTAGTTTGTGAACTTTTTGCCATATTAATGTTATTTTGCCTTGCTTAATGTTATTTTTGCTCTTGTTCTTTTCTTTCTCTTGTTATTGTTTATGGCAAATTTTGTCAATTCTGTTTGTTAGGCATTTCTGCCAATTACTCCCTACAACCTTTGTTAAAACAAATATTCATCACATATCAATCATTCCTTTTTCTCTAACACTAAATTCGATCTGTATGAATGAAGTTTCTAATTTTGTGCCCATTAGGCAGGCAGACATATCTATCTTTACATGTGTAAGCATTTTTTTCCTTTATCTTTGTGTTCTAAATGACAAACAATACAAGTGTCACACTTTCTCTACTTCCTCTCATTAATTCTTAAGTTTTTTTTTCTTTTCTCTTTTCATTCTCTCTCTTTCTATGTGACCAACGAAGTATACCTGTTTGCTACTCTTTCTCCTACCACCTCTTTTAGTAACCTTAGTGTGCCTGTCTGTCTCTCTTCCTTCTGGCTGTCTGAGTGTGCCTGTCTGCCACTTTTCCCACCCATGTCCCAAATGGCTATCTATTGCTGACATCCCTTTGTATTTTTTTTTTTTTTTTATTAGATTCATTTTACTTTCAAATCATTCACCTCCCCTAACATATCCCAGCTTTTTGTCTTCTCTTTTATCTCTTATAGTTTTAAGCCGGCTGATTTCTTATTTAATCTTAGTTTCCTTTCTGAGTTACCTCCCTTTTTACTTATCAGCTTCTTTTCTTTCTTTTTAACAATACCTCTGAACAATCACATTTTCTCTTGTACACATTGATAAGATTAATCATTAAAAACAAAGCTTTTTCAGTAAGCCCAATTTTTATAGTCTTTAAGTGATTTTTTTATTTTGACTGGTCATCAATAACTTTTTCCAAGTTTATTGAAATATAAATTACACTGAAGAATTTTTTTTTCTCTGGATTTTGTCACTATTTCATGATTAAATCTTAATCATGGCTGTTATTTTTCTCATTTGGTAGCTTGTATATCTTAAAGGCATTTTCTCACAAATATTTAGACTATAGGATATGGCTCATCTAATGAGAAGTACATAACTACCCTGTTGTTCTTCTGTGTCAGCCATGTTTTTATCCAGATTTTAGTCACAATTTTATTATGCTGTCTGCTACAATCTTTCTGATGGGTTGATATTAATTTTAAAAGCCTAAGTCTTGACACTTGAAAGATATGTATTATGCAACCTCATGCCTGTTTAATATAAGGTAATGGTAAAAACAGTAATGCATGTAAGATATCCATCAACAGTATGATACTTGGTACATATTAGTGTTAATATTCAAAGAAGTTTGTGTTGAATTTTAGATTTCTAGAATGAGTATTAAAGATATACATATAAGAATAAGAGAACTAACAGGGCAAAAAATATGCTCATCAACAGGGTGCATAAAATCCAAGGATAGAACCCTGATCATAGAGAAAGAAAAAATACTTCAGAGAATAGAACAAATACTCTTCCACAACAAAAGAGGACAACCTGCTATACACAGAAATATCAAAGGACCAGAAATATTAAAATTTGAAGTGAAACCAGCACGAGTCAAATTGCACAGGAAAAAACAGCAGGACCAGACAGAATTGTAAATTATGCCAGCCTTAGATGATTTCACTGCTGACATAATATATGTAATATACAACAATGGTGATATACCAGAAGGTTTAAGTAGATTAATTTTTATAACAGTGCCTAAGAAGTCAGGTGCAAACAAATTGGAACTCCATCAGACAATCAGCCTAATGATCCACATAACAAAACTTACCATTCAAATTCTGATGAATAGAACATTCAGCAGAATTATATTGAAAATAGGACAAGAAAGGTTCAGTTTCATTAAAGGCACTGGAACAAGGAATGCGATATTTATATGCAGAATGATATCCGCAATACAAATGCAAAAGGTTGTGTACCTATGTTTTATGGATTATGCAAAAGCATTCGATAAAGTATGTCATGAAGAACTGTTGGAACTGCTAGGTAAACTTGACATATTTGGGAAGGATATTAGAATAATCCAAAACATATACTGGCAGCAAACCACCTGCATTTGGATAGCAGACAAATTCATTAAATATACAAGAATAGGTGGTGTAAGACAAGGATGTGTCATCTAACTGGACTTATTCAACCTTTACAGTGAAACAATCGTGAGAGAATTAGAACTCCTACAAGGAGTCATTATTGGCAGCCACCTCCTTAAAAACATTAGATATGCAGATGACATGGTATTGATAGCAGACATAGAAAGGAAAATACAGGAAGTCTTACAGAAGTTTAGTAAAGTGAGAAGAAAGGCCTAAACATCACTTGTAAGAAGATAGTTTTCAGCAAAAAGAGCCCAACATGAAAATTACAAATTGGAGATACCAAAATTAAGCAAGCACAAAAAATTAAATATCTAGGATGTGTTTTTAAAGTGCAACATTGAAATCCAAAGGCACATTGGGATAGTGAAAGAAGCCTTTCAAAAGCTAAGCAAAGTATTAAGAAACAGGAAAAATCTCATTAAAAACAAAGAAAAGACTACTACACTGTTATATAATATTGTTTTTTCTATATGGTACCTAGATGGGTGAACAATTAGGAATACAGGATGCTGTAAGCTTGAATGTGCAGGTAATGTAATGGATAATGGCTCAGAATTGTTAATCGGAGAACAGAGTTCCAGTTCCTGTTGAGCTCACTATATTCTCATGCACAAATATCTATGTGAAAGGCATGAATTCCACCTCTACTCTCCCCAGCCATGGATTAATTAGTAAGACATGTATCACTAAACCAATATTATCTCCAAGAAAAATTCTTGCAATCTAAAAATATTTTTTAGTTTTAAATAACCTGCAAAGGGTTGATAAGCCATAGAAAATGAATCACTTACTTTGCAGCCTTCTGATGTAATGATTTTTAAACATCTGAGCCTTCATCAGTTTGATCAACTGACAAATTGTTCAGATGTTAACAAAAGACAAGAATGATCCTAAGTTTGCATAATTGGAGGATTTTCTATTCTTCAATTGAAGAAAAAGTTAACAATGTGAACAATATTCAAAAATCAAATTGATTTTACTTGCATTAGCATTTAATACCTACATGCTAATTTAATGTCTCTCATTAGAACAGAATAGATTTTGTCACAGGCTGATCAAATATCTCATAAAAGCAAATTACAGTCTTATTTCACTTGTGATGATACAGTCTGGATTATAAATGGTACAGCACATCATGCCAAATGAATTTCTATAGAGGAATACAGGTTTAATTCCCGTTGGAGAACATATTTTTTACAAAATTTCTCAAACATTCAGGTTGGTAAATGTAATTAATACTGTTAAAACAGAAAATATATTAAATAATTGTCGGATTTCATCCATTTCGTTATATACATATACACACACACGCACACAGTGTGATGGGTAAATTGTTGCCATTTTATATTTTTAACTTCGAACATGTATGTTGTGTGTTTTTGATTTTGTCGACTACACCGTATAGTAGAGTCAGTTGGGCACCATCACTGAAAAAAGAGCACCATGACACAATTCACTCCACCAGAAATTTGGGAACCCCTTGCTGTACTGCTTGGCATTCATGATGGAAGCTCCAATACAAACATTTCAGTGTATTTGGGTGTCAATTTGAGTATGGTGCAGAGGACTTGGAAAGAGTTGGATGAGTCTGATGGTGATTGTGGAGGTGCAGCAGCTCAGAAATCTCAATCTGATCATTCTGATAAGAAAAGAGCTCTCAAATTTGTTGGTGAGGGCCTCAGACTCAACACCAATATCTACATCGTGCCTTGAGGAGGTAGTGCTGCTCAAGAGGGTGGCTGTTGGAAGACCCTATATCTGGCAACAGAACTCTGCACCATACCACACAAGTAGGAAAACCCAGTCATGGCTGTCAGACAAATTCTGAAACCATGTCACCCCTTACACCTGGCCACCTAACTCTCCAGCCTGCAACCTCCTTGATTATTATGTGTGGTGCAACAAACTCCTTATAACACCAAAGATGAACTAAAGGCAAAGATTATAGCAGCATTCACCAACTTAAACAAGGAGGCTGTCCAGAAAAGTTGCAGAAGTTTCCAAAGTCATCTGGAAGCTGTGGTTGAAGCCAATGGCAATTTTATTGAATAAATTTTCTCTTTAGTATTTCAAAATATTTTTATTTTATTTTGGTAAATATATCTGTTAAAAGGAGATGTCAATGTTATTTTCATTTTTGCATAATTTAGATGACAATTTATCCATCACTCACTCCGTGTGTGTATCACTTGATAAGACACCAGAAGTGTTAAACAAAATGTCTATTTTTGTAGTGATTTTAAAACATATTTGTTATAATTTTCAAATAAATATATATATATATATATATATATAATTATTTATTCGAAAATTATAACATAAATATGATTTTGTTTGTTTTTGATTTTGTGATTTCAATGATTTTATAACATTTATGTTATAATTTTCGAATAAATAAGTATATTTGCTCTACTCTGTATCAAGCACTCTTTTAAGAATAGTAATTGTTGGTTATTGGAATTTATTCCATATACACCAATCCTATACTTGGACATACATACATACACACACACACATATATATATATATATATATATATATATATATATATATATATAGTGTGTATTTAGGCAGCATATTTTCATTTATACACGTTTCATTAAATAATATAGACAAGTGTTGTCTATTTATTTTATGTAAATTTTGTTCGTAACATCTGATAAGTTTGATAACA